TCGAGCTCGGGTGTAGGGGCTGCCACTGCCATAAAGTTAGCCAAAGCGGGCGCTAAAGTGGTGATCACCGGGCGGTACGCTCTGAAACTGAACGCCGTGTCCAACGAGTGTCTCAAAGTGTCGCCAAACAAACTGAAACCACTGGAAGTGATGGCCGACATCACCGTCGATGACGACTGCAAACGACTGGTCCAGACGACGGTCGAAAAGTTTGGGAAAATTGATATTTTAGTCAATTATTGCGCCTTCAAAGAGGTCACGTACTTCACGGACAAGGATTTTGTGCACAAATTTCGCCACACATTTGATTTGACACTCAAGTCATTGGTATTCATAACCCATTTATGTGTCGAGCACTTGGAGGCCACGAAAGGCGTCGTCGTTAACATCTCGAGCGGCGCCTCATTTCAAACCGTAAGTCCGTCTCTCGGAAGTTGACTACAATTTTGTGGATTTATGTGAAATGACAAATAAATTTATATGAATAAGACCCCCGGGTATGGCCCTCATTGTATGGCTAAGTCGGCGCTGGATATGTTCACACGATGTATGGCCGCAAAGTTGGCCCTCAAAGGCATTCGCGTCAATTCAATCAAGTAATACCAAAAATATCACAAAATATCTTAATATAGTAATAATAACAGTAATTAATAGCTATGTTGTATTTGTAAACTAGCCATGGTGCACTCGTTGACTACCAGTTCACATTACCTAACGGTTCCCGCAAACGTAAGCGTAAGTTAGAGGCGGACGCCGTTGCTGAGGGGTATGGGAGGCAGTATCCGGTGGGCCGACCGGGAACTGGCGATGACGTGGGAAATGCAGTATTATATTTGGCGTCCAAGAACTCATCATTTGTGACGGGAATTAATTTCATTGTCGATGGCGGACACCTGGCCGCCGGTATCGCACCCATAGTTAAACTCACCATTTAGTAGATTTATATTTTTAAATACTATTTAATGCTAAGTAATATACAATCTCACATTTATTTTCAAACTGCTTCTCATAAATAAAGTGATTTAAGTAATATTAATTAAATTTATACTTCATTGGTTCAATAATAGATTAACTGTACTAGATTATTACGGTACTTATATATAAATTTATATCGGTGATGTTTTATTTCATACATTAACATAGTATGATAACATGTCTTACAGACATCTGGATAATTGAAAATACACTAAATATTGCACAATAGTTAGAATTTTATGATTATTTTTTTTAATTAATTTTTATTCTTATATAATAAACACCAATCATTTACAATCTTTAAAATTGGACTCATCGGACACATACAGCCCAGTCGTACACTTAATATTGGCCACTCTATCGAGTAGTTTAGGGTGTGTTTTGAGCCAATAGTTTCTACAGTCCTGACAGTCGACCGGCTTTTTCCACAAATCAATCACATTATTCTCATTACTGTCCAAAAACTGAGAAAATATGGTTTCATTCCAATAAGGGTACTGATTGGGCAGGAAATCCGTTAAACCGAACCATAATTTCGTAGGCTTTCCTATATTCACAAAACTTTTTCGTGCAAAACTGGTCGCATTCAACAGCCCGTTATACTCCAGGTCTATGTCCAGCGTATTATTAAAAGGCTCATCAAAATCAAACGCGTCGTCCGGTATATACGACACGTTTGTCCCGTCAAACCATATCATCCTAAGCGCCGGTAGGCTTTTGAACGCGTTTGAGCCTAACTTCTTAACATACGGTCCTCTGATGTAGATATCAATCAAACTCACGAGTCGTTTGGTGAAAGCGTTTGACGGGATTTCTGTAATGTTTGCATTGAATGATATGTCAATCAATTGGATGTTTGAGAAACCGCTCAACGCCTCAAACAAACTGTTATTTTCATTGTTACGTAACTTTGGGTTTTCATTGAGTATTATCTGTTTGGTTACAGCGTTGGTGCCGTTGAATGCGTTTTTATCAATGGATGACAAATTCAATGCCTTTTCGATGTGGATCTTCTGGAAAGTGATGTCTTTGAATGTGTTTGCCTTCAGTTCACTGATGGCGGTGTTATTGACCCAAAGTTCAGCAAATTTTTTCTGAAAATCTGATAGATTTTTGCTAAGGATTTGAAATAAAAGGGACAAATCGATAGGTTTATCGCCACCGCAGTATATGTTGATATTGTTGGGGGTAGTCGTCCGACACACGCACGGGTCGATCACCACTTTGTTAGGACAATACTCGGCCAATGATCCCGTAATTAATATTAACAAGATTATAATTCCAGCCATTTTTATCACTAATAAATAAAATAATTTTCAATTGAATTCTTTAGCTTATCCCAAAATTACTTACGTTTGAATTATTATTTTTTTATTTACTTTACAGTATTGAATATAAAGTATATAAATTGAGTCCATAGAGTATTTATTGTATTAAAAATTTTATACAGATAAAACTTAACAATCAAAAATTACAAATGTTAATTTTCTCATTGTTTCACAATATCTCATAGCTACACAAAATAATTGATTCATTTAATCGACTCATGATTTTGAAAAATATTGATAATTAATACTGTTGATTTCATTAAAACATTACCGTACCGATCATACAATCATGGTAACTAATAATTGTATAGGGTAATTATGAACTTTGTAAACTGATTGTACCAAACTAACATGTTACTAACGATTAGATGTTTTTAAATGTTAAAATATTCCTGATGAGTTAAAAGTCAGATATTTCCCCTATTACAATATTTGCTTTTTAAAACTAATTAACTGACTATTCAACTGATTAAACATAACTAATGAGTTGTATATAAATTATTTTAAAAAATATAATTTATTGTATGTTTATATTTTAATTAGAAATAAATAATTGAACATAATATGTATTACTAGTACAAAAAATATCTAATAATTGGAAAAATATATTAATTAAATAAAACATAAAATTTAGTTTAAATTAATGAAATCCTTTTGAATGTTAAGTGCAATCCATGGGACAAAATAGGATACCCGGGAGTATACGCCAGGGAATCTCGGTTTAGCGCACCCATTACCGTACGACACAATTCCCATTTGCACCCACCTATCGTTAAAGGGCACCAGTAGGGGGCCCCCGGAGTCGCCCTGGCACGTATCTTTTCCCCCCTCATCATAACCGGCGCACATTTGCTTCTCCGATATCCTATCGGCGCCCGAAAATATATGATCGTTAGCTTCGGAGCACTTGGAGTTCGTCACGATGGGGACGTCCACTTCTCGTAAGTCATTGGACACTTTGCCCCCAAAGCTGGTTGTGCCCCAACCTATAAGCATAGACTTACGACCGGTTAGGTCGAGCTTTTGCATGTCTAGCGATGGTAAACATACGGGCGCCACACCGGCCCTCCAATTGATCTTATTCTTAAATTTGAACAAGGCAATGTCGTTCTGGTGCCGGGAACTGGCGTACCCTTCGTGCACCATGATCTTATCGACGTCCTTGATCTCGCCCCTATCCTTCAGCCTGTAGGCGCCGATCTTAAGCTTGAAGTCGCGGGGATTCATACTTAGGCAGCAGTGGGCGGCCGTCATGACGTACCACTCGTTGATGATAGTGCCCCCGCATATATGGGTGAAGTTACCGGTGCGCGGACTCTTAAACTGAATCTGCACGGCCCAGGGCCACGACATGGGAACGGCCTCTTTGCCCCCTACGATATAAAAGGAGGGGACCGGCGGCTCATTACTGTCCACTTCGTTAGTCTCTTCCGCCGCCACTTCATTGGCGTCCCAATTGTTGGTCGGGTAATAACTACTCTCCAGTTCCCCATCGACCCGACCTCTGATACCATACGGCGTACGTATACCACAGGCTATTGAATGAGAAACAGATTAATAAAATAAATATCTTTTCTATCATTGAAAACACATACGAGTGGACAGTTTGGGCAATTGGATCATGTCTTTGAAGGGCTGTGTGGGACAGCACAGGCCTACTTGACTCAAGCCGTATATGCACTTAGTCTTGGTTCCCGCACCCAAATTGGGACAATTGAATGGATTTCCTTTGCAGGTCCCGGAGAAGCCCTCATAAATGGCACACTTGCCGGACGAGCCGCTGAACAGTTGGGCTACCGGTCCGAACATAATGCTAAATATGTCTTCAATGAAGTTGCCCTTATCCTCCTCATCGTGATTGGGAAGGGGTATCAGTGATGACCCGTTCCTGTCGTTACATTTGATGAGCAACGGTATGGTCGACAGCAACAGGAGTTTAGTAATCATTGAATGCTTTCTGTGATTATATTTACTAATCGACGAATTGGTCGCTAAAAATCGCGATAACTTTTGAGATATTTTTGGTGAACTAGTGATAAAAAATTTTAATTAAATTTTGTGGGCGACGACTAATTGTATGCAATGATTAGTTAGGCATTTATTGCGGCAAAAACACACTTTCCGTAGTAATTGGGACTGATTTCTAGGCAAAGAGTTTAATGTTCTGTTAAAATATATCTGTTTGTGAGCACCAGATGTGTAACAGTTATACACTAAATATAAAAGAATTTTTCGAAACGAGAATTTTGTTCAGAATATTCTTAAAGAGGTTTTGACCTTAATTTTGCATTTAAATAAACTTTTGTGTCAATAAATATTACTAAACTTTTTTTGTGAAATATTTTTCTATAACTGCATTATTTTGTATAAATGTTAAAAATGCTTTTATATCTAATTTGATAAGTTATACATGTATACAGTGTATTTATTAATCTAGCAAAATGTGTTTTAATTTGATATTATTTTATTATAAATATTAATTGTATAATTAGTTTGCTAATATTATAAATTGGGTCTCTAGGGGTGTATGAATAAAATTCAAGATTTTTCAAACAATTAAATATTTTATTGCTATTTTTTCATTAAATATTCACAGAGTCTTTAGTCTATAATTTACATGAATTGATGTGATTTAGTAATTTCTGTCACAAATAAGTCATAAGAAAATGAGGAAAACAACTGAATGATACAAATTTGTTAGCTATCTATTGATTTAATTATAAATGAACATGTATGCTTTTTATAAAACAAATTCGTTGTAATAAATAAATAAATTATGATTTTTCTTACAAGTTAGTTAAACAACAAATGATTTGTTTGTAAGTTACAACACAATTATATATTTTATTTTCTCATCGTTTTTAAGATATTTATATGAATTTCATTATGAATTCTGGGATTATTTTCTATTTTTAATTTAATTTATTTTTATAAACAAATAACACACGTCTTAATGATCAGTATATTAATAGTAGTTTAGTTCATACATGCAGTTATTGAATGACTTTTAATAATAGAAATTTATTAAAATCTGAAAATTTCATTTTACAATACTGTATATAAAAATCTATATTGATTATAATCAATTATCTATATTATTTTATAAATAATATCAAGTTAATTAGTTTATTCGTATGTTAATCAATTAACAACATGTATACAACAATTAAATAACCTATAATCTATAATCCAAAATGAAATTTCATATTTTAATACAATTTCTACTATTAATAGCTGTCAATATTACAATTAAATTATTTTCCATATTCAATGACATAATGACAACAAATAATTAGCGTATTCTGTAAATAGACTTTAAATAACATGTTGTAATCATTTATAACAGATGTTAGCGATAGAGAGATACAGAGAGATAATGAATGATAGAAACGATGGCTTTATTTCAAATGTCAGATCAAAATGAGATTTCCTTAAAGAGATGCCAACCGTTTGTCTTTGAAATATATATTTTACATCCAATTCAGAGAAATAATTATATTTTTCAATATAGATTTTTAAATTTTATTTTTTCCCAATAATTGATAGCTATCACAGAAAATCTTTAATTCAATTTATATGACAAATTCAATGTTAATAATCTTATGACAATAATACAGCACAGGGATGGCCTGTAGTCCTGTGATTAATTAAGCCCTTCTAACTCAACTAACACACAGAAGTAT